TAGTTTTCATAACTAATATGCTGTACTCGATAGTTTTATGTATCAAATCGTCACAGTCTTTAAGTGAGTCAGATATTTCTAAAATCTTACTTTCTTTCTCTAATATCTTGTCGAGTTCTTGATGCAGGTCTGAGCATGACTGAATCTCAACTTGAGCCTTTCTGATCCAATCACAAGCCAAGTTATAGGATTCTTTATATTTTTCATGGTCTGCTACTTCTATTTGTAAGTTAGAGATCAAAGAGCTTAGGTCTTCTTTTAACTTGTGGTAACGTTGAATTACATTTTCGTAATCTTTTGTTACCAGTGTAGAATCTTCACTGAGTTTGCTTTGTAATTTATCCACTAAGTCGCTATGTGAGTCGATTTCCTTCTGAATTGCTTTTAGTTTTTCTAATTTCGCCTTTTTCTCACCTAGTTCGTTAAGATAGCCATCATCCAACTGTATTTGGCTTTCTTGCTCTTCTAACCACTCTACTAATTGCTTGTATATCTTGTCTACATCCTCCAGCTGGTTAGCTCTAGCTTGCAGTTTAGATCTAGCGTCTTGCACGTCGTTTAATAGTTTTTCCATGTCTAGACGAAGATTTTCAGTGTCCTCTTTAATTTTAGCAATTCCAGACTGTTCTGTGTTCATTATAACACGTTCCTTTAGTTCCTGAATATATCTCAACTTATTTTGACCTTGCTCCAAGGAAGCTCTAATGCTTTTAACTATTTGCAGCTTGTTATTGACTTCGTTAAGTGTAGAAGGTATCTCAAGGCAGCCATTGAGCTTATCTCTGGTTCTGTCCATCCAGTCCTGACATTCTTGACACAAAGCATTGTGTTGCTGGTGTTCTTGATAATGTAGTTCTAGTCTGCGCATAATTTCTTTAGCCAAGGAAAGAATCGCGTTGTACTTTGTAGATATCTGCGTAATTGCGTTACTGACACGCGTGTCTGCGCATGTCTCCAATAAGACCTGCGCCTTCATATTTAATCTATCCAATTCAGATTGCCAATCAAACAGACCTTGTAATTGTAGTTGGAAATGCTCAAGAACTGCTCGTTTTTCCTCTAAGCTATCTTGCAGTTTATTGTAAGACTGCACCATCTTTTCTGTTTGAGACAACCACTCTAGAGCATCTCGGTATTGATCTTCGTACTCAGTCCACTTCACAATACCAACTTCTAGGAGACTCTTAGTATGATTAAGATTCTCTACATAGTTATCGAAGTCTTCCTGTAACAAACCAACTTCTTCTTCAATAATTTCTTTGTCCATATCAGTAGCAAACGGAATAGCTTTGTCTGCTAAATCGATAGCAGTCTCAAGTTTCTTCTGGCCTTCTGGAACTTCGTTTTTAAGCGCTTTAAGCTGGGAAAGTTTGCTTCCGAGACTTTCCTTATCTCCAGTAGGTTCTGAACATTTACCCAAACGTTCCCGAGCATTTCGTATCCATTGATGAAGATCGTTAGCGGCCTCTACGAAAGCTTCATGCTTCTCAACAACTTCCTTTTGTTTGTCGTACAACTCTTGTGCTTGTCTAGACAGTGTTTCGTATTTGGTGGAAATTTCTGAAGCTGGTGCTGCCTGTTTTAGGTCTTCAGCTTTAGAGGCGACAGACTGAATCATCGGTTCGAACGAAACGATGTCTTGAAGAATACTTCCAGTTTCACGAAGAGTAGCTTTTCTGTCACCAATTGGTAAACTACCAAGTCCTCTCTTTTCAGACTTTGTGATCTTCGGTTCAGTTACTTGTTGTAACTTGGCTTCCCGATCTGTTATCCATTGTTGTAGTTGGCTGTAAGAACTGTCGTAGTCAGCCCATTGAAGAAGCGCTGTTTCTAGGTTGACCTTGGTAGTCGACAGTTTCTTGACGATTTTCTCCCAATCATTTTGGACTTCTTTTATTTCGTTATTAATAGCTTCCCTGCCGTCTGATCGAGTGTTTCTCAGTACTTTTTCTCCACAGTTAACTGTAGCATGGACTAGATTTTGTCCGTCCTCGCGTCTTTGAAGAAGATCTTGTATTTGTTGCAGATGACCTTGTAAGACTTCTCTGCTACTATGAGAGACAGCTTCAGAACATTTTCTGATTAGTTCCCGAGCGTTATCGATCCAAGCTCTCGTCTTTTCAAGGTTATCAGCGTATTCTTTGTGTTGGTCGTAGTTGGTTTCAACTTTCTTTAGCACGTCATTTGCTAGACTTAATTCTACTTGATATCTAGAGTTGAGTTGTTGAAGCTGGTGATTAACATGGCCCTCTAATGGTGATTTTAATAAAATACTTGCTGATTTATTTAACTTGTCTATTTGGTCTTTTCCGTCGACAAGTTTTTGTAAGATATCCTTGACGTCTTTGACTTGTTTTTCTTTTTCCGGTAATGTAGACATAAGTGCGATTTTTTGGTTCTTTATCAATATTGCAATCTGCTGTAACCAGTCAGAAACTCTTTCATATTCATCTTTGTATTCCCTCCAATTGGCTAAAACTGCATCCAACTGTTCTCTTTGTTGTTTTAAGTCTTTGAATAATCTTTCAAACGATTCCCTCAAAGCCCGTATATCGTTGTTAATAAGTTCTTGACCTTTGGCGTTTGTATTTGGTAGAACAACCTGAGCTGTATGCTCCAGATTTTCTAGTAGGACTTCGCCTTGTGCTTTCTTATTAAGGAGATGATCCAGTGGTGCTGCGATTGTATCTACAGTGAGTTTTTCTCCGAGTGGTCGTTGCAACTGCGGCACTTTTTCTTGTGCCCTTGTCATCCACCTCTGGACTTCATCGTGGGCTTCTTTGTATACTTTGTGGTCCTTGTGTTGAGCGTCTCTGTCCAATGATAGTTTCTAAATAACATTAAAAAGTATTATTAATATTAATTGAAATCATGAATGTGTTGCTTGTGTGAGTCCATATCAAATAGGTAAAGAAATAATAATAAGACTTACTCACAATCAATTTATTCTAACAATCTGACGACCGGTTTCGCTTTCTACAATTTGCAAAGCATCTTCAGGTCGAGATACAAAGTTAAACTAATGCTGCAATAAAATAAACCCAATTAGGGTGGTGTCTCATAAAGATAAAATAAACAAATAAATTAGTTCATACAAATTATAGTAATTATGCCAATATTACATGTCTGTGGTTTTCAAAATGAATAATTTGAATATATAAAAGGTATTAGCAGACAAGGTAAGACCCACAATTGGTATACAGTAGCAATCTTATATTGTAATAAATTAATAAATGATTAGATAGATTGCTACTTTATACCAATTGTGGGTCTTACCTTGTCTGCTAATACCTTTTATATATTCAAATTATTCATTTTGAAAACCACAGACATGTAATATTGGCATAATTACTATAATTTGTATGAACTAATTTATTTGTTTATTTTATCTTTATGAGACACCACCCTAATTGGGTTTATTTTATTGCAGCATTAGTTTAACTTTGTATCTCGACCTGAAGATGCTTTGCAAATTGTAGAAAGCGAAACCGGTCGTCAGATTGTTAAATTAAATTGATTGTGAGTAAGTCTTATTATTATTTCTTTACCTATTTAATATTAATTGGTTTAAACAATTAAAAAGTACACTGTAAAAAGAGTAATAAATTAAACAAACTTACGAATATCTTTTCTGCAATAACATCAAAGCGTTTTAATGTTTCTTGTGCTTCCGCAGTGGCTTCACCTCCCTTCTTCTTTTGCAAAACTTCGGCAACATGTGCTTTCAAATTATCAACATCGATTTTCTCAGCTCTGGTTCTCTCTTCCAAGGTTTTTATTCTTGCTAACACAGCTTTCTTCTCTGTAAGTGTAGCCTGAGGTTCTGCTAGCTCTTCGTATTGAGCCTCCAAAGATTCTATCGTCTTAACAAGAGATTTAATCTCTTCCAACATTTCGGCCCATTTCGTAAGAGCATCGTCCAAGTGTCCTTTGGCTTCGACCATAGCTGTTGCCAAGTTTGACCATTCCTCTTGAAGCCTGACAAGAGTTTCGTTAATTGCATTGTGACCTTGAGGTGCAGTGTTCGCTAGTACAGTTTGAGCCAACTCCACTAAAGCTTGAAGCTTGGAAGAACCTTCTTCTTTTCTTAAAACAAGTTCTTGCACCGTTTGCAACTTAGATTCAAGCTCCTTTTGTGGTGTTCCAATAATTTCAGAACAATAAGCTAGTTTTTCTTTAATGTCATCCATCCATTGCGTAAGTTGATCCACTTGCGAATCAAAATCTTGATGGTTTGCAACGTGATGTTGCCAGCGGTTGGTCAGATCTTTAATCTTTTGGCATATTTGTTGGTATTTAACTCCAAGTTCTGATACTTGGGAAGGTCTACCCATTATACCTTTATTCAATTGTTGGGCTCGTTCTGTTACCTGATCTATCTCAAGTTCTTTAGCTTTTATTTCTCCTTGGAGTTGTTTCAATATATCTAACTGGTTTTTCTTTTCAGATGCTGTTGGTTTCAGGTCTACAGAATGCAACTTATTGTCTGTTTCTCTTATCCAAAGTAGACATTGATCCTTTAATGACTCGTATTCAGTCCATAATTGTAGTTTGGTTTCTAGTTGTTGGATAGCTGTATTGAGAGCTGATACCAGAGCTGCCCATTGTTGTTGAGAGGTTTCTATTTGGGAACGGATATTCGCCTGTCCGTAATCGATTGTTCCTGGGATCACTTTGTCGCCTAGAGCCTTGATGGTAAGTAGTCTGGATTCTTCGTCACGGATTGATGCCTTTAGTACCTGTACATAAAAAAAAATTAAATACAAATGATGTCCTTGGGAAGATATGGGGGCAGTGAGAAAACTATGAATAGGATGCTGTCAACAGTAGTAAATAGGGTGGTAAAATACCAGTAGGCATAATGAAATAACAAATAAAGTGAGTAAAATAACTGATAAATACGCTACCTTTAATCTCTCCAAATTAGACTGCAAACTGGTCCTGTCCAAATCCAGATCACTCAAGCCAGCAATGTTGCTGTTGGTGGTATCTATCCACTCTTGTCCCTGTTGTAATGCTTTTTCGTACTGTTGATGGTTGCTTACAATGACTTCATACTGATCAACAAAGTTCTGCATCTTTTTAGATAACTTATCGTACTGTTCAGAAACAGTCTTGAACTGACCATCAATAAGTTCGTTTCGTTCCGGTAAACTGTCAGCTTTTTCTTTCAAATCTAGAATGTCTTGTTGGTGTGACGACACGTCGTGTAAGAGGTTTCTGTAAGTTTGAAGTTGCGATTTTTTCTCTTCCAAAGTGGCACGCAGTTCTAAATCTTGTGGTATATGTCTCTCGGTATCCTTCAACCAGTTGGATACTTTAGCCAGACTTTCTTCGAATCCTGACCATCTGACTTTCTTGGACTTAAGGTTTCTGTCGGTTTTGCTTATTTCATCGAACAATAGATCCATCGCGTCTCGTAGTTCTTGTAGTTGTTTATTAAGGATTTCTTTACCTTCTAGAGAGGTAGACGGGTATAGTTTTTCGCCCATTTCTATAGTGCTGTTGAGGAGAGAGGTGGCATTGGGCTGTTGTGCCAAAAGTTCTTCGATAGACTTGGCTTGATCATCGAGAGATTGGCGCGATGCATTCTCTATGTCCTTCAAGCAATTCTCGTATCTAAAAAACAGACATTTTAAATGAAACCGCTACTAATAATCTTGATTTTTAGAGAAAAAAAAAACGTGAAAGCTATGTTTATAAAAAAAAATCTCGAAAAATCTAAATTAGTAAAAGTTTATTGTTGTCACTGATATAAATACATATTAATTGCATTACCTGTTTCTAGTAACTGTGATCCAGTCGGCGCATTGCCTGTACTTATCAGCAAACAATTTATGGTCTGAAAGTGCCTGCTCGCACTTCTTAAAGATCTCCTTGGCGGTAACTTGAACAGACTGGAATCTGGAAATGATCTGTTGGACGTTATTCGCTATTCTGGTATCTCCACTACTCTGAACTAGCTCTGCTGAACTGTCAGATAGTCTATCGAATTCGGGTTCATTCTGTCGTAAGGCGAGAGCTAGTGACTAAAATAGAAAATTAATTAAAACACAGTTTAACTATAACGGGTATAGCGATACAACATCTAACAGAAAAAGAACTGAAGGAGTAAAGAAGAGCCAACACCTGTTAAGGAAAACAAAGAAATAGAATAACGTTTGCTTTCATATGCAACGGTTTTGTTAATAATTATGGAATTGGCGCTTACTTAATAGAAATGTATATTCAATTATATAACACAAAACCTAAAACATTACAATATTTTTAAATTTTTCAGTATATAGTTAACTTGACATGTTTTGCTGAAACACCAGCTTCCATAAAAGAATAATTTTAAATGAACTTATTGTGTCCTTATAAGCTGTACAGCTAAGAGGATTTTATTAGTTTTTAACCAAGTACTTACTATTATAGACAGCAGCAGTGGCGTTCCAATATGTATATGCTCGTTAAAAATCATTTGAACTTTTTTTATTTTCTTTTTGTTGTTTATATAAAACGTGGTTAGCATACGTGATATTTATTTTTTCCATTGAAAAAACTATGTTCAGTCATCCGTTTTTTAAAACTTTTCCCTACCTAACCTATGTATAATTCTGAGCATGTATAGTCTGAATGCATTTGGTGCAAAGTAAATATTAAATTAAATGTATTACTTTATCGATGACGTTTCATTCAATAATATGTTTCGCATAATTTGGTTTTTACATATTTTATCAAATAATAATTATTTTGTGAAATATAAATATTCCCAGCATCGTATTGAATGGCTTGATTAAGCTTGGGTATACAGTTTACTTTAAATTATATAAAAATTTAACTTCATCTTTTCTCACTAGAGGTTTCTAGTAGCATACTCTAGTAATTTTTTTCTTATGATTACCATAGTAGTCGGTGCGTTTTGATTTGGTTTGAGTCTTCTTACAAACTCTCTCTGATGACGGGTAGACCCAAAAACACGTGTTAGAGAGTGGTAAGAGACTCAAATTAAATCGAAACGCAACCGTCTATTTATTTTTTTAATAATTATTTTATTTCCATTTTCTTTATTCTATTAAAAGTTAACCAGAAAACTTTCTGAGGCTTTTAATTTCTTTCTGTGATCCATGTTTTAAGGTATTTGTATAAAAATTGTTTTCTTAATTACCATGAACTAGGAGTTTTTCAGATCCAGTAATTGTTGCAATGCATATTGAGTTGTTGAGCAAGGTATTGTAGTTTTTCTAGTGTTCCTGCCAAAAGGACGGTATCGCCAGCATATCTTATGTTATTTATTGGCTCACCATGTATTTTTGAGCCTAGCGGTCAGCGCTAATTCACAGATGGCTACACTATAAAAGTTAAACAACAATGGTGACAGAATCTGGATGTCCTCAGTCAGTTAATATTTAACTTTCGCTCTCACTGTTTGATTCCAGTACAGGTTATATATAATTCTAGTGTCTCTGCTGTTGTTTTTCTGTAATAAAATTTCTTTAAGACAAGTATGCTGCTCTTCGTCATTTTCTACTAGTTTAAATAGAATAAGTTCAAATCCCCCTTACTTTATGTATAACCTTTTGATACATCCCTCGTATACGTTCTGTCACCCTATTGGTTGGTTAAAATGTTAACAGCTTGTCGACAAGATATGTCTTACTTTCTTGGTGGACAACAGAAAGTAGAAATAAATTTGAAAATATGTAAACAGTCTTTCTTCGTTAAAATATTTTTTCTTTTACAATTCAAACCAAACGAGGATTCTTTAAATTCTATTTTGAAACTTTCTCTCCTGGGCTTAAGTTCTCTCATGAAAATTTAACACAATGGTTTTTATAGTAAGACAAGACCTATATCTGAGAGAGTTAGTCGAAGCCACTGAACCAGAGAGCCCACTGTCCTCTTGCTACAACAAAATTGGTTTTAGTAAACCTCATGTACAAAACTAATCAGTAATAAATTAAAGTGTTCATGTATCACGTTACTGAGTAACACAATAACACCTGTCACTGTCTTTTTGAAGCATTCAAAATATTGAACTGTTATCCATCCGTCATTAAACCACGATTTGATCTCAAGTGACTTTCTTTTATTTTAAAAAAACTCTCTTACGACACTCCAAACTTAGTTAATACAAATGTATAGCCAGTTATTCTATTTCCTTGAAATATTTTTAGACCATGTACGTAGATAAGAATAGAACAGTAGAATACAATGACTACATAGACAGAGGTGTGAAAGTTTACACTTATTCTTACTTGTTCTAATCGATCTGAAATCGCAATAAACTCCTTCACGTCTATTTTTTGAGACTCGATCACTCTAGATAGTTCCTAAAGGTAAATTAAAATATAAACATAATAAAATAAAATAAAATAAAAAAAGTCGGTAATAAAATATATAAACTTGACATTTTTATACTGCTGGAAGTATGGTACAGCAGCTTATAAAAGAAATATGGACACAGAAAACCCTCCCCAATAATTTGAATATTGGAATACTTTGCATCATCACAGATGAATTACGCTTTTAAATGCAGCGTATAAAATATTTTCCACATTACTATGCCACCGTATGGCACCATTTGCAGAACGGATAGTAGGAAAATACCAGGGGTTTCAGAGATGGTTAATCGACAATTCATCAGATTGCAAACCTGAAACAAATTTTAGAAAAAAACACTTGAATATCACATATATACTTATCACCTATTTATAAACTACAAAGCAGCTTACGAGTCTGTGAATAGAAATGTTCAAAGCAATGAAAGAGCTAGGAATACCAAATCATTTGGTAAATTTACCAAAACTACCTCTTGAAAAAGTTGAATGTAGAGTACGGATTTAGGGGAACCCTGGAAAAAGTACGGAAAACTCTGTACAAGAGGCGTATGTAGCATTCGAGAGTCAGCTACAAAAGAAATGTGACATTTTGACATAAAAAATGTTATATTTTATGTACAACGTGATATATTATGAGCTATTTCCCTTAGAATGTGACATTTTGACTGAAAATGCAATATTTTGACGTAAGAACGAAACATTTTTTGGAAAACGTGACATTTTATGTGAAACGTAAGATATTATGTGACATTTTATGTTGAACAAATCCTCCATTCAGAAATATGCATGAAATCTGGGCAATATGCAATTTGGTGAATATCTTGAGAAAACATTTCAGCCAAATGAAAGTAATAATAGAAAGGTCATGCAGGAAAAACGTGAAATTCAACTAGTTACTCCAAAAGAAGTCTTCAATGAAACTATAGCAAACATCAATAGCAGGAAAGCATCTAGATTTGATTTAACACTGAGAAAATTTTAAAACAACTCCTTAGAAAAGCCAGAATAAAACTGACATATCTTATGCATGCCTCATTGTGATTCATGGTATACAGCCAACTACAGAAATTTCATTTTCCTTGTGTAAATACAAATATTACCCCTACTCCTTGTGGCGCCGCCATTTTGGGGCCATGTGACCCATACCTAGTGCTAGATCACCAACTAATAGTTCGAGTTAGATGCGTCTTGCACTAAACTACATAAAGAAATAGTGGCTCTCTGTGAATCATTCCAAGACAAAACTAAGTGCTTACAGAAATAACCATAAGTTCAACGGTTTAGATAAACTGAGGTTATTTGGAGAGGAATAGCTAGAACTAGTGAGCCTTAAAATATAAACTTAGATTCTAAGCTCATATGATCTCTATAATAGAGATTCGCAACTGTTCTAGACCTCTAAAAGAGGCTATAAGTGAAGCCTGGAAGTTGAAATCAAAGATTACCTATTGCGTATACACAGAAGTGATAAATCCAACGATAATATACGAATAAGTAATGTGTACTGATTCATACGTTATATTTTTATACATATGGATCACTAGTATACATATTTAAAAATACTGCAACGAATCTAGACCTGCAACGGCTTTCACAGAAGAATAATCTCGAATCTCGGTGTGAATCATCTGATTTCTAACATTGTCAATTCTAGAACGCCATCTGTGGTAAAATGTAAGAACAATTATACCAGTAGTAAATAAAACTGTAATTAAACTTAATGATGAGTAATAACTTACCTGATATCTATCTAGTTGATCTTGTTTCTCTTCTAAAGTACTCTTCAGTGCATAGCTCTTTAAAGAAACTTCAGCATCAGCCAACCAAGATAACAACTTATCCATGGTAACTTCGTAATCGTTCCACTGTTTTAACCTATTCTCCAGAGCAGATTTGACGTCTGCTAGAGTGGTAACGAACTTTTGACGATCGAATTTCAGATTATCGACGTCTCTTTGCATATTTTCCTGAGCTCGCGCTGGCAAGCTGGTAGCTTTTTGTTGGATGTAGTTCTGGAGCTCGTCTAATTTAGCCATGTTGTCGGAAAGGCTGTCTTGTAGGTCAGTGATGTAACTTAATCTAAAAGACAATATAACTGATTATAACAATCAGGAACAAGACTTAAGTACAAACCTCTTTTCTAGGATTTGTTTATTTCCTCCGTAGTCCAAATTGCTGTTCAATTTCTCCCACAATTGCTTCTGCTCATCTTGTTGTGCTTTGTGAAGGTCATAGAACTGTTGATATATGTCCAGACACTCCTCCAACTGCTTAGTGTTGTTTTGGGCTGTTTTGAGCACATTTTGGTATCTGTTGTTAATGGATGCTACACTTTCGTCAATTTCCGCTTTCTTCTCAGAACTGTTAGTGAGTTGAGCCAAAGATTGTGCTTTTTCAGTGACACCTAAAGCAATTAAACCATAAAAAATGACTATATTACGATTACGGAATGTATAGATTGGTCATAAAGTCTACTCACTTACAAAAATAGATAAAAAAACATAAAATTAAAAGAATTAAAAAAATATTAGCACATGGAACAAGGATATACATAAATGTGATGACAAATATCGGCATAATATCGGCTTTGACGCTTTTGATCACGTTGTTGTATTGCTTTGCTTGTTCCATAATCGTAGTATGACTAGTCAAAGTGTTTATTATTACTATCTTGTTCATGGTCAAAAGAATAAAATACAGATAAAAGTGACAAACACTTTCTATAAAAGTTTCATCGTAGTATCAAAATTTACTTACCTTCAATAAATCTCTTGTGAGTTATTATCTCTTGCTGAGTTGTCTTATGCTTCAATAACTTTGCTCTAACTTCCTGGATGGAGGTCCATGAGCTGGGTTCAAGTTTAACTTGTTTCTCAATAGAATCCAGCCACGACACAGCTTGTTGAAGCAGGTCCTGATAATTGGCTAGCTGTAATGTCTGCGATTCTTGCAGTTTCTGTTGTTGTTTGACTCCTAGAAAAATGACACGTTAATAGTTACTTCGAAACATACAAAAAATGTGACATTTACCTTCAGCTAGACTTTCCCATCTGTCTCTAATCTCCTTGATTTCCCCTCTGATTATTTCTCTGCCCTCTGTAGCCGTGTCAGGCAATAATCTTTCACCAAGCAATGTCAAAGAGTTCAACTTATGTTCCCCTTGTTCAGCTTCGGATAAAAGAACCTGTAATCTATTGTTAGCTTCGGCGTTATCGGTAGTTTCACCTTGTTTGAGAGCCTGCAAATGCTCCTCCAAGGGTGCCAACCACGCTGATGTCTCTTCCAATCGTTGTTTATATTTTTTATGATCGTCAACAATATTTTGCCATCTATTAATGATGTCTTTTGTTAGAGTATGTAAGTTCTGGAATCTGTTACTGATTTGAGACGTAACAGGTTTGATCCTCTGTGATCCACTAGATTTTAATAAAGCGTGACTCTTGTCAACAAAGTCATCAATATCTTTTTCTTTGGCAGAAATAAGTTCTCGTTGGCTTTGCAGAAGTTTCAGTTTGTTTTCTTTGTCAGGTAAAGTAACTTGCAGCGGCTGGTCTCTAAATTCAGCTTCAATAGCTTTGGACCACTGATTCAACGATTCTAAAGCAGTTTCAAAGTCATCCCATTGTTTCAGTACCTCGTTTTGCTTGTCTAATGTATTATTAATAGCTTGAAGATGATTGTTCAACAATTCCTCCATACTTGCTAATTCTCTTTTTAAGTTATCAACCCCTTTAGGGGCAGTACTTTTAGCAACAGCTATTACATTTTGCTTTAGATTATCCAATAATTGGGGGCCTTTTGACTCGCTGTCTCTCTTGATTCCATGAATATTTTCAATCCTTTTGTTAATATCGTTCTTTTCTCCTGTCGTGTCAACAAATTCCAAAAGTCTTTCATTTTGGTTTTCCACCCACTTCTTAAAGTCATTAATTAGTTGGTTATAGCTGCTGTGCTTATCTACACATTCTTCTAAATTCTTTAGCACTCTTCAGATTTGCTAACTATGTTTAAGAAAAGTTGTTTGATAGATTGTAGGTAAATATTAAGGGATTTATCATGAGTCTGGTCTACTAGTTGCTGTGCCTTGTCACAAACGGATTCCACAAGTTGCTGGTGAGAAGTAATTTCTTGATGCATTATCTTGTGGTTTTGTAACTGAGCTCGTTTTTCTTGTAAAGTAGATTTTAATTCAGTATGCTGATGCATAGCCTTCTCTACATCCTTTAACCATTTTGTCAGTTGTTCTTGAGTCACAGTAAAATCGGAGAACTGAGTCAAACATTGCTCTAATTTATTACTTGTATTTTGCAAGTCTTCTGTTAGTGCATCCCAGATAGTTCTCAAGTTCTTTAACTGCTGTCTTATGATCTCCCTGCCATCTGGTGACGTGTGTGCATACAACTTTTCACCTTTGTCAATCAAAGTTTCAAATTCTGGAATTCTTGCATTTCTTTCGTCTATAAGGTCTTTAATATCTTTCTGCCGAGTTTGTAGAACGTTTAAGTCACCTACAATTTGAGAAAAATGTTGAAGAGCTTCCTCTTTGTTCGTTAACCAGTTCAAAAACTCGTTGTACTTGTCATTAAAGTCATGGTGTTCGGCTACAAATGTTTGGTATTTGTTACGATTTTCTTTAACTGCATTTCTTAGAGACTGATACCTAGTTGGTATCTGTGATACTCTAGAATCAACTTCTAGGGACTTGCTCATTTCTAGGAACTTACTAAAGTCAGGTTCCTTTTGTTGAACTTCCTTTTCTAAGCATTCTAACTTTTCTAAATGAGCCTTTTTAGTGTCTTCGGTATTCTTTAAACTTTGATCTTTGATAAAGTTTTCTCTAGACTTCAGCCAAGTTTCCAGATCGTCCATTATTTTAGATACCTCAGCGTGCTGGATTTGTATCTCATTGAGTTTCTCTTGTGCTTCCTCGCACAGATCCAAGAATCTCTGCCATGATTTTTCCTGCTCTTCAAAATTGTTAATTAGCGAAGGATGACCAGGAGCAGCAGTTTGAGTCAATACAGTTTCTAGTTGTTGCTTACAAGACGCTATAATCTTGTCACCTTCTTCTTTTTGCGACAAAAGATTGTCTACTATTGCTAATTTTGCTTCTGGGCTCTCGGTTGATGATTCATCCACCAATAAAGCGGCTTCATTTGTTAATGCACTTAGCCAATCGCGGCATTTTTCAATAGCTTGATTGTAAGCTTCGTGGTTAGTTACATACTCATCTGCCACTTCAATTCGGTTTTCTACTTCCTGCGCAAGACTGCTGTACTTTTGTAGGTTTTCATCCAGCTTGGATTCGGCGTCAGCATCGGATAAATTACCTATTTTGTCTTGAAGTTGTTTCAAAATTGTTTTGTGTAAGTTAACGTCTTGTGATAATATTTTGTAGTTATGAAGAGTTTGTTTTTTGTCCAACAAAGTAGCATCCAGCTTGCCTTCTTCGCCTAGCTTCATTTCTGCGTCATCTATCCACAGTTTTACCTGTTGTAAACTATCATCAAATGAATGCCTTTGCATCAACGTAGCCTCCACTTGTTTATATATTTTGTTAACTTTGTCGATCAGGACTTCTGATTTGTCCCGTAAGTTTCTCAGTTCAGTTCTAATGATATCTCTATTTTCTGGAGTTATTCCTGGGAATAAAGCTTCTCCATGTTCAACAGCTCTTGTTAAGAGAGTTTGACCAACTTCTTTTTCTTGTGCGAAGTTTTTAAGTTCCTCCAATATGGTACTGTTAGGTTTCCTGGCACTTTTCGAGAATGTATTAACTTTTTCTTCAGCTTTTACCAACCAATTCTCTACATCTTGAATACAATTATTATAAATTCCTTTGTACTTGTTGAGTTCGTTTAGTTTATCGATGTAAGTGGACTAAAAATTTGTTAATTGCTTGGTATCTGTTATTTAAATGCTGCACAAACGGTGCTATGCGACTTTCTGGCATAGCTTTGACCAATTCTTCACTAATAGGTATTAATTTTTCAATTTCTGGTTGATAGTCTTTGACGTCTTGAAGCAAAGCTGTAGCTTCTGTTACTTTAGCGTCGATATTCTTAAGATCCATTTGTAAACTACTCTCCGCTTTTACTCTGTTTCTGTTTCCTTCAACCAATTGGAAACACTCTCAGAAAGATTCTCGTACTTATCGTGCAGAGCTATATTGCTTTCTAGTATGTCTTTCGTACTACCATATTGCTGCTGCAAGTTGTCTAGGTCTAGAAGTAAGTGGTCTAGTTCAGCTTGTTGTAGTTTAACTGATTCAGGTTTCTCGATTTGTCCGAGAGCCTTTATAGATTCTTGCAATTCATCTTTACGTTTATTGCAGTCGTCAAGTACACCCTGAATTGGCTCTAGTGCGTTTAATTTTACTTGTAAGTTGTATTTGTCGCTTGTTGCTTCAGGCAAACACCACTGGATTTTTTCCTTGTGTGTGTTAATAATTCTTTGCAAAGCACCATATTTTTCGTTGTGGAATTTCTTGAGGAAGGATAACAAAGCGTGTTCAATTTTGTCGGCGTAAGTAACAGTTGTATCATACCTTTTCTTCAAAGCTTGTTGCTCCTTGCTTAAAGTGTTTTCAAAATTCGGATAATTAGCTTTCATTGTTTGTATATCTTGTTCAATATGCTTAATATCACCATCGTAGTGCTTAAGATCTTCCTTTAAGCTTCTAATCTTCAGTAATCGTTCCAATATCTTCGCATTATCTCCTGATAAATCTTCGCATTTAACTATTTCTTCTCTTAATGATGAGACTTTGTTTCCAGTATCTTTGATGTTCTTCCTGATAGTTTTTTCGTTTTCATTAAATGTTGAAGTTAGGGCTTCTAACTGTCTAGCATTTTCTTCAAGTGTAGCAAATCCTTCGTTCAACAGTGTCACCAAAGATTGTAGTGTTGGGATTTCTTTGCCGTCTGTAGAGTTCAACAGTTGCGAGTATTTGTGAGGTATGCTTTGGTTTAACCTCAATTGCGCTGGCAATTCTTCTCTATATTTACTCAATTTAGCAGCAGCTAATTCCTTTTCGTTAGGTTTTTCGGCTGCTTTGATGATTTCGTTGTTTTGTTCGCTCAACCACTGCAACAATGTCGTCTTGGTGTCTTCTATATGCTTCCAAATTGCTGCTTGGGACTCAGTTTGTTGCACGTTCTTCAGAATTCTTTCGTATATGTTTGACCACGCATCGTTCAATATTTTTAAATCTCTTCTAACTTCTGACTCAATTCCAGGAATATTATCTGCTTTTTTAATAACAGCCTGTGCTTTAAGGTCAGCCTTGTCCAGTGCTGCTTTTGATCGTTTTATGGCTTCCAGAGCTTTCTTCGCCTTTTCACAATTTAAGCTAGCTTGGAAAATATCGTTTGGAACTTCCAAGTGCTCCACGCTTTTATCAATTTTTCCTATATCAGTAACAATTCTGTCTTTAGATTCCTGGAAGTCATTCCAAGCGTATATAATATCTGACAATTTTAAGTGATCTTCCCGAATATCATCGTTCACTTTTCCAAACATACGTTCGATCGCACTTAGTGAGTTCTGTATCGCAGAAACATTCTGTATGTCCTTCTTCATTAATTGCATGGCTTCGGTGTGAAGTTGGTTCTTTACAACAGATTTAGCAGCTTGTTCTTCCAAGAGGTTGTTTAAGTTTTCGACTGCTTTCGGAAGATCGCTGGAGTGTTTCACTTCGCTCATAATAGCTGCAAGTTGAGCTTTCGTCTTGTCCAAATCTGAGATAGCATCCTGTTGCAGTGAAGTGTATTGATTACGCTGTTCCATTAGTGTTTGCAGCGCATCTACTTTATTTGCTAGTTGGTCCTTTGAGGTTTATAGTGTTCACTTCTATTTCTCGTACGACATTTTCTGCAGTTCTGGGCAAACCAGACTGCTTATCTAGAATAGTAATGTTACTTTTGTTTATATCTTGAGCTGCCTCCTTCCATGTTATCAGTTTTTCTAAAACCGTGTCAGTTTCTGAAATAAGTTTCTTCAGCTCTTCTGGGCTTAGTTTTTCTGCATCAACTTGATATTTAATATGCGATAGCTGATTCATGGTATCCGTATGCCAGTTGAGAAGCTCGCTCCATTTTTGCAGCTGAGTCATCTTTTCTTGTAATGTATGCTGAATGTCTTGGTTTTGCTGTACTAAAGTGGAATACTCTTGTGCTATAGGTTCTACTGCTTTTTGTGGCGACTGTAATGAGATTTCTTTAATCTCACTGTATATGGTGTTAAACAAAGGTTGTTTATCGGAATATTCTTGTAGTAATGTATGTATATTCATTATGCTGGTGTCAACCTTTTCAGCTGGTACTTCATCCAATTGAGCTATATTGGCTTTCATCGATTCCATCCAATTGCCGTAGTCAGCTACTTTAGTCTGGAAATCATGCTTCATCAAAATAGCATCTGATATTTCATTGATTTTGGCTCTAGTACTATCGGCTAATTTAGCAACCTGGCCTTTGAGCTCTTGCACTTGATCTTTTACCAGCGCAGCTCCCTCTGGGCTTATATTGTAGCTGATGCTATCTGAACTTTGTGTCAATGAAATGAGTTTTGCTTGCTGTTCTGAAATTTCGTTGTTAAAAGCTTTCAGTTTGGCTAATTCTTTCTCCAACTTGTCTACATTGGGAGTTTTTACATTAACAGGTTTGGCATTTAAAGCTTCTTCGCTTTTGACGACCCAATTCTCTAAATGCTGGACATTCTTATCAAAGTCAACCCAGTTGGCTACTAGTTTGTCTAGTTTTTGACCCCACTGGGCAGCTGTATCTTGTATAACAGACACTCTAGTCTGAACAGAGTCTACTTCATCCGGTGCATGCGTTTGTATGGATATTTTCTGAGTCAAACTTGCCACACCTTGTAGTTTGTCCAATTGTTGATTAACTTCCTTTTGGAATTGTTTGGCTTGGTTCTGAATTTGCACGGCTTCTTCGAGAGTTGCAGGTTTTTTGCAATCCCATTTGTAGTTTAATTTCAGAATCCTCGATCCAAGGAGTTATGTCTTGTAGGCTAGCTTGATAGGCTTCCCAATTTTGGAAGTCATCCGACACGATTGCGGACTGACTTTGAATATTTTGGTTTAGTACATCAACCCTCTCTTGAATCTGTGCTATATGCCCTTTTAGTTTTCTAGCTTCTGGCGTATCTTCAACCAATATTTGGTGCGCTTGTTCATTGAGTTCATGTAGGCACTTTCTTTTTGGATTCAACTTCTTTTTGAAGCATTTCTATTTTTTCTACTCTATCCTTGGGAGTTATTGCATATACATCTATGGAAGTTAGTAGCTGGGGAGCTTCGTGAACAGTCCAGCTTTGAACATTGTTCAACTGATGTGAAATTGTGTTCATTTTGGTGTTATACTGTTCCAGCAAAGTCACATTTTCTTTAACGGTCGTTAAAGTGTCAGTCAGACTTTGTTCTATCTGTTTAATTTCCGTGTCCAATTTTGGTTTCTGATCTGGCACTTGTTTGCTAAGGTTTTCGCTTAAGTAGGTAAGTTTAGCTAGCATATCTTCCTGAGCATCTCTCAAGTTTGTTATGATCTCCTGTTTTTTGGCTAACTCGGTAGGAACAGCACCATATTGTTGTGGAGTAACCGTTGCAGATCTGTCTGTGCCTTTTGTAGAAGTTCTGTAATTTCTTGTTTTTGCTCAGTATAATTGGTCCAGACGTGATGGGTGTCTATGAGCTTATGTAGAGTATCAACAGTTTCGTCGTATGTAGTAGTCCAACCAGTTTCAAGTGTTTTAACTTCTTGTTGCATAAAGTTGGGTGCATGTTCGTCTCTAGTAAGTTCCTTTCCTCTTTGCAGTAAAGACATAACCGTTGGCCTTTGCTGGTCCAAGTGAGAAATAGCCATTTCTTGTTTCTTAATGTTCTGCTTAACAACTTCTAACGATTCGGGTTGTCTTTGCACTTTAGATTGTTCGCGCACCTGTGTCAAAAGTTGGCAAATCTCTTTCACTTCTCTTCTGTACGTGTAGCATTTTGAAAGAGTATCTGTTTTCACCATAGTGATTTCGAGAGTAGGTATCAGGTTCTTATACCGGATGATTAGGGCTTCTAACTGTTTCTGCTCCGACAATGCTTGGTCTTCGGGGCAGTGAGATGTTAGGGAATCTAGAGTTTGGACTAGCCATTTCATGTCTTCACGCTTCGAATCTGCTTCTTTACACACATTCTAAAAAATATATAAACATTAAAACATAGTAAAAATCCAAAAAAATAGTTGACAGTAAAAGATTTTTTGTTAATTGCTTTTTGGCAATCATTCGATAACCGCTACTATTAATAGTTATTTTGATTGTAAAAAATAAAATAAAATGTTTTACTTTAATCAAAAAAAATTATTGGGCAAGACAGTAGTTATCGAATCACCCTCGTATATTTTTACAAAAATTGCCAAAGTATTACATTATAAAATGCACCAAGTAGTTTTTATAGTTTCAAATGATGTCTAATACCATGCAACACCACTGTATAAAACAATGGTTTCAATCACGGTCATAATACGGTTTGATGAATAAAAAGTGCACATACAATTAACTAAAGTGTTTCAAGTACTCTACTTTTTGTATTATTAAAATTTACCCTTATTTGTCTGAACTGTAGCATCAAAACATAAAATATTTATATAAAATATGTAAATACTATTCAGCTATAACTACAAAGTTGTAGACATAAAAGTTACTCTACGAGGGTAAGGTGAAAAGTTCCCAAGGCTATCAGTTCTCAATTGTTATAGTAAGCACAATTAGAATGCAGTGTAGTTATATATTCAAATTTGAAAAACTTGAGTAAATCGAATATGCTATCGGTACTATAAATATAAGATCTCGCGACTGAGTCTACACACCTTATTTATCATAGTTTGACACACACTGATCAATAAAGTTATATTGTTTGAGTTTATAAAAAGATATTTGATAATGAAAAAGACGAATTAATGACAAAATTGATTTTAATCTTTAATATTCAGTACGAGTTAATGGAGATTAAAGCCATAATAGTCCCCAAACTACATTGGTTGATAAAACTACATAATATTTAAGCTATAAACCTAACCCGATATGACAAAAAATCATAGAATACTAACCTGAAATATAGCTTTTTCTCGCTCGAATTCTTCCATGGAATTGACATCGTTGAGAATATTTTTCAAGGTATCATCAACTCCATCCATCCACTTGGACATTTCTTCGAACTTAGTGTGGTAAGCTTGCCATCTTTCAGGAACTTGGTCCAACTGTTGTTTTAGATTTTCAATCTTGATGTTAACATTATGCCAAGCTTGTTCAGCTTTCTCGACAGATTGCTTTAGGGTTTGGTCTTTAGGATAATTTGCAGTGTATATATTGGAGATTTTGATAAGGTGTTCTAGACTCTTTTGTGTTTCAGCCAGCGGACCTTTGGAAGAAAGAATTCTTTGTTTCGTCTTAAGATTGTTTCTACGTTTTCTTGGCGGCTGAATGATATCTTTTGGTTAGTAATTTCTTTTTCAATTTCTTTAATGTAGTAGTTAAACGTTGTTTCATCCAGTCTGAATTCGAGCTTCATCAGGTGAAGAGGAGCAAAGGAAAGCACCTCTTTCCATTTATTCTGTAAATAGTCTACCGAAGACAAAATAGGAGCGTGCTGTTCTTTAGGAAGACAGTTACAAAGATCCTGTGCACTTTGAATTAAATCGTGAATCCATCTCTCATTCACCGATTGGAAGAAGTTCTTGTGCTGCTCGACAGTTTCTTTGCTGTCGATTCTCTTCTCCAATGTCAGCTTTTCGGCTTGGTTCAACCAGCTGGAGATGACTCTTTCGCATTCTGAAAAGTTATGCCAACATCTTATGGCTTCATGTAATTTCTGTTCCCATACTTGAGAACTTTGAGTCACATATTCAAATCTGTCGTTCAACTGATCCATTTGAGCTGTCATGTTAGCAACATCTGGGTTGCTTGCTTGGTCTACTGACTTAATAATGTTGTTCATGACTTTGTTTTTACTGTCTAGCATGGATTTGTAATATAAAGTTCTAGTGAAGAAGTGCTTCACTTTTTCTACTTGTTCTTTAAGTTGTTCTCTGTCTGCGTCTAACGATAGACTACTTAGAACGTTTTCAGCGTCGTCTAACCATTTATTAATCTCTTTTTGGCTGCTTCCAAAGACTCTTGTTGGATTAATAGTTGATTGAATAGGTGTATTTGGGCAGGAATCAAAGCTCGTACTTTAACTAGTGCCTCTTTTTCTTGTTTCAAGGTATTCATCATCTTTTCAACTTCATCTCTAGATAAATCTTGAATAAGACTTTGGAAGGCTTTGCTGATGTTTTTGAATAAGTTTTCGATCTCTTCTACTTCACCTTGTAGACGTTGCAAGTTCTGAGTGTGCTCCCTAATTCTTTCCATGGATCCCAAAGAAGGAGTATTTAGTACATTCTCCGCTTTCCTTAACCATTTGGATAAAGCTTCTAACCCAGATCGGAAGTCTTTGCGATTTCTTAATATATCACCAGCATGACTGTATTTGTTAACTTGGGGATATATCTTGTCCCAACGTTCCGACATGACTTGAAACCGGTCTTTAAGCTCAACAGCGATCTTGTCTTGACACGTCGCTATAAGAAAACTTACAGTATCTCCCAACAACTGATAGTTATCTCGCCACAAACTGATATTTTGGAAAAATTCCATTTGTTCTTCTTCAGGTAGGTTTAGAGCTTTTTCGGCAGTTGCCAGCCATCTGTCGAATTCTTCTGATAGGGTGTCCCAACGTCTCCAATAAGCAACAACTTCCTCCAGCATACTCTGAACGCATCTGAGCTCCATGGAAACGTTCTTCCAACGCTCGGAGATGTCTCGCATAAATTTGTCAATTTCGGCAATTTCTTTTTTGTCTGGAATTTAGATTTGAATTGTTAATGACATCATCAAATTTTAGAGTGCGTCGTTCAAAATGATAAAAAAATAATTGAAACATATACACGAGTAAAAGTGGTAATTGTGAGTTTACATCTGAGTATTTCTTATGCTGTCAATTCAGTGAAAAGAACATAAAATCACAGGAAGGAGAGTTTGCTTTTCAAGTGTCGACCAAAAATGAAAATTAAATGGCGTCTACGAGTTTCTGGTTTGCCAGTGGCATACTAAAGCAAGCTTATGACTAGTACCATTATTATTTTGACATAACCTACAAATGTATCGAATAACCTACAAATGTATAAGCTCGGTTACTCGCATACAGTTTTCATATCCTAATGGCACAAATATTGATAGTTACTGTTAGATTACTGTAATAAACCTTACCTATATTTCCATCTCGTTTGTATTCTTCATTTAGCAGCTTGCATGTCAATAAAGGCTTTCTGAAATTCTACAAATATGTGACTCTTCGTCACAAAATTACGATATTGGTCCAATAATTGGGTCACTTCGTCCACTCGTCCATATTTGGAAGTCCATACTTTCAGTTTAGTCTCAGTAAGTTGCAAAAATGCAATAAGGCAACACTACAAAACGAATACATCATAAATTTATTACTTGTTGACAAACCGATGAAATCAAGCAGAGAGTATTAGTCTTTTTGGAGGTATAAAACTTTAGTTTGTAACTAGATATTTTTATAACTTACTTAATTGATTACAACCGAAAAAAAAAAATGGTCCCGTTTTCATGCTAATCATACATAATGGTTTAATTAATAACACGTTTTGTACGAACATGTCGTACAGTATATACGAAGAATGAATTGCTGAGTAGAGTCGTAAAATCAACAAAGACTTGATTGAGTCTATCCGACATTGTGGACAACAATTTGACCCTATTCATTTATGGAAGATTTTGCAGAA